ATTCTAATTAAACTGGCTGGGATTTTATCAGATGCCAGCTGTCAGACTGCAGCAGACCAAATACAGAGGGAACAGTGCAGTCTCTGCAATGATCTGGAGAGTACATGGAGTAAAGCTGCCAGGCAAGCAGGGCCCTTGAACTGTGCCTGGAGGTTTGAAATGATGTTTCACCACACACCTTTCAGTTTACTGATACGGGTACCAATATGCAAAAAAAGGGAGTTCCAACGCTTAAGAAATTAGATGTAAAGATTGTAAAGGACAGTTTAAGATCAATTCAGGTTTGTCCTTTACACTATCATGTATATTTGCCTTTAACTTAGAACTATTAGATGCCTACCCAGAGATTATTACGATTTCCGATTACTTTCAGAGCTTTTCATAAAGGTGCAAGAATCTCAAGTTATAATTATATTATAATATGGTTAATAATAATTACAGTCTGATGTAATTATTATGATAGACTGTAGAGGAAGAAAAGCAGCAGAAATCGCATGCTTATGGCTAGCAGGTAAATGACAGTGGAGACCAAAGGCTGGAGTCATTAATGCACAATAATTTGTCAAATTGCTGACCTGTAGCCATGAATAATGTACCCTTTAATTGTTTTTTTATTTGTTACACACAGCTACAACAGGCTATAAAGGAGCATTAGGGAACAAAATCTGACTCAAAGCCACATTTGGAGATTTTAGGCCAGATGACTAAAATTTCAATCAAAGAAATAGGTTTCAAAGAATGTTTTAAAAGGTAGAGAAAGTTAGAGTGCTCTAAGGAGGAAATTCCAGAGCTTAGGGCCAGTGAAGGAACAGCGATCAATCGTGAAGTAATTGATGTCAGAATTACTTAAGAAACGAGAATGGGGTATTCGAGTGGCTGTGAGGACTTGGGATGGAGGGTGGTTGGTGCAATTGAGAGTCACAGAGTCATACAGCATGGAATCAGACACTTTGGTCCAACTTGTCCATGCCGACAGGTTCCCCAAGTTAATCTAGTCCTGTTTTCCTGTATTTGGCCCGTATCCCTCTAAATATTTCCTATTCATGAAACCATCCAAATGTCTTTTAAATGTTGCAATTGTACCTACATCTACCACTTCCTCTGGAAGCTTATTCCATACACACACCGCCCTTTGTGGGGAAAAAACTGCCTCTCGGATCCGTTTTAAATGTTTCCCCTCTCACCTTAAACCTAAGCCCTCTGGTTTTGGTCTCCCCTACTCTAGGAAAAAGACCAAGAGGTATACGGCTCATATAAGTTGCATCAAAACTTAACCCTGGCTGCTAGGAAAAGCAAAAGAACATCTTGACCTCTCACTCCACCTCCCTTTGAAAAAATAGTTGAGCCTGTGCCTCTCCTGTCATTGCCATATTCAACACAGGCTGCATATTTTAAATGGAAGCCTTGGCTGTTAACATCGTAGGAGCTCTGGGCTATGACTCCAATTTGCATTGTTGAAACACTTCGAAAAGGCTCTCACAAACACTGCATCAGAAACTTCTCTAGGCGCTGCTTGAGAGCTCACAGACTCAGACGAAGGTGCAGGCTTGTGTGTTGTATAACAAAGAATTTAAAATAAAAACTGCATTTTTTTTGATTTTGGAAGTGCTATTAAGAAACTGTCAACTGCCCTGGTACACCAGTGCAGACTTTTATACACTAGTTTGCACACCAATCCTCCAGCTCCCAACACACTGCATTGCTAAATAATTCACAAATTATAAAATTATACTGCCCAAATGCAATTATATTTTTATAAATCATTTGTTTAACTTGAGTCAGCAATTTACACAACTTGCATTTTCAGAAGTGGGAATGCACTGATGAAGGAGGTTAAACCATGTGCTGCTGATAAGATCACAGGAAGTCATCTCTGTTGACATGGCAGTTTCCACATAGACTACTGCTGGTTCACATCTGCTGTTTCAGATCGTAGCTCAACCCTGCACCTGTTCCTTCTGATGAAGTTTAGCACATTTTACAACAATCAAAATGTCATTGGGAAATCAGATATTTCCTCAAATGCCTAGTTACAGTGACAAGCACAGCTGCAGCATGGTTTTATTCCACTTGATGCTTTTCCTGCCATCACTGCACCAGTCTGCATAGTGACTGCACTCGGCAGCTCTTGCTGAGAGTTAAAGGACATCGAGGTCACTGCAACCTTGCTGATATGGAGATCGGAAAGGCCCAATTTTCATTGTAGTCATAAATTTGTGTTAAAGATTGTAAGATGCGAGTAAATAAGTGTTTGCAAATGGGAGTTTGTGAATGATTGAGAGACAGGCAGACTGCAGGTCATAGAGTCAGAGTCCTACAGCACGGAGACAGGTCCTTCGGCCCAAACTGGTCCATACCGACCAAAATGTCCATCCACAATAACCCCATTTCCCTGCACTTGGCCCATATCATTCTAAACCTTTTCTATCCATGTATTCGTCCAAATGCCTTTTAAATGTTTTCAATGTATCTGTCTCAACCACTTCCGCTGGCAGCTTATTCCATATGCGTACCACACCCTGTGTAAAGAAGTTGCTCATCAGGTTCCCATCTACTCTTTCCCCTCTTACCTTAAACTGATGCCCTCTAGTCCTTGATTCCCCTACCCTGGAAAAAGACAGAGTGCATTCACCCTATCCATGCCTCTCCTGATCTCACTTCTATGAGATCCCCCAATCAGTCTCCTACGCTCTAAAGAAAACAGTCCAACTTGCCCAACCTCTGCCTATAACTCAGTCCCTTGTATCCTGGCAACATCCTTGTAAATTTCTTCTGTACTCTTTCCAGTTTAATAACATCCTCCCTAAAACAAGGTGACCAAAACTGAACACAATACAAGTGTGGCCTCACCAACATCCTGTACAACTGCAACATAATTTCCCAACTTCTATACTCAATGCCCTGACTGATGAAGGCCAGTGTGCCAAAAGCCTTCCTCACTGCCCTATCTACCTATGACACTATTTTCAGAGAACCATGCATCTGAATTCCAAGGTCCCTTTCTTTCACTACACTCCTTAAGGCCCTACCATTCACCATGAAACTCCTACCTGGATTTGACTTTCCAAAATGCAACACCTCACACTTATCTATATTAAACTCCATTTGCCATTTCTCGGCCCACTTCCCCAGCTGATTAAGATCCTGCTGCAATTTCTGAAAACCTTCCTCACTGCCCACAATACTGCCTGTTTTAGTGTCATCCACAAACTTACTAATCATGCCTTGTACATTCTCATCCAAATCATTGACATAGATAACAAATAGCAATGGGCCCAGCACTGACTACTGAGGCACACCACTAGTCACAGGCCTCCAGTCCAACAAACATCCTTCCACTATTACTCTCTGCTCCCTACCATCAAGCCAATTGTGTATCCAATTTGCCAACTCTCCCTGGATTCCATATAGACTAAGTCTACTGCCCTGCCCTCATCAACCTTCCTGGTCACTTCTTCAAAGAACTCTAACAAATGCATATCTTATCCCTCAGAATCTTCTCAAGTAACTTACCTACCGCAGATGTAAGGCCTACTGGTCTATAATTCCCAGGCTTTTCTTCGCATCCCTTCTTAAATAAGGGCACAACATTTGCTACCCTGCAGTCTTCCGGGACCTCACCCATGGCTAATGGTGATGCAAATATATCAGCTAGGTCCCCGTAATTTCTTCTCTAGCCTCTTGCACGGTTCTTGAATATATCTGATCAGGACCAGGAGATGTATCCACCTTCATACATTCTAATACTTCCAACACTTCCTCTACCATGGTATGGACTGTCCCCCAAGATATCACCACTAACTTCCCCAAGTTCCCAAGACTGCATGTCTCTCTCCACAGTAAACACAGAGGAAAAATATTCATTGAGGACCTCACCCATCTCCTGAGGTTCCACACATACATGTCCACTTTGGTCTTTGAGGGGTCCTATTCTCTCTCCAGTTATTCTTTTTCCTTTAATATACTTAAAGAATCTCTTTGGACTCACCTTAATCTTCTCAGCCAAAGCTATATCATGACCCATTTCGCCCTCTTGATTTCCTTCTTCAGTAAACTTAAGGTATGAGTGCAAGACAGAGAATGCAGAAAAGAATAACAAAATAAATGCTAAAATAGAGAACAATGTGTGAAAATGTTTGCATCAGTACGTGAGGGTATCCTTGTGAAGGAAGAGAGTGTAACGGTGAACACTACCAATTTTGGGCACAAGTCCATGAGAGCACGTTATGAGTGAGCAAGCATACAAGTGAGACAGTGAACGAGATTGTGCAAATGAATGAGAGAGGAAGTAAATGAATCAATGAGAGAGACAGTGAACAAAAAGAAAGCAAGGGAGAATATGCATGGGTTCTGCCGAAATCACGAGACACAGCATCATTATCCAAGCATCAAACTGCTCTAGTGCTTGTGCACCTGTTTACAACAAGGCATCGCAGCCCTCACTGTACTGCTTCTTATTCTGTAGTGTTCTACAGAAGTCTGTGAAACACATCTAGCGCTTAAAACATTGACCACAAAACCTCACAGATATCACATCAGCATAATCGCTGTGGGTTTACATATTTCTGGCAGGCAGTTTCTTTTCTTTGATCAAGGTACACCAAGGCACTAGTTAGGAGCTGTGCAGTCTAAATATTAACATCATCTTTACACAAGACAGATGAAACCCTCCTGCCTTCAGTCCCATCCGATCAAAATCGATGTAACAATGGAGTGATTATCTCTCCTTCACTTCCAACCATTGCTTAGCATGAATCTGTTGTAATTTAGTATCAAACAGGAAATCTCCAACCGTGGTGCAGACTAGACATAACATGGAATAGAACAAACATGATTTGGAACTACTTTTATGAAGAATAACTAGATTGGACAATGGTGCTGGGCTTCTGAAACAAGTTTGCCCTCTTACTGTAATTATTGCTTCAAAAACACACACACACACAAACACACAAATGAAACACTCGCCTTTCAATCACTCACTCATTGCCTGGATTGGTTACCTGTTTCTGCGTTGACGCGGCCATTTGCAGCTGGCAGAATTTCATGGCTTGCTCCAAAGCTACATCCTCATCAACCTAGAAAAGGATTCAAAAGTTAGAAACATGAAAATACAAAATGTGACATCCCACAGGAAGAGAATCTCATTTCCTTCCCTCAGTGGCACAATCAAATAACTATGAAATATAATATCTCTACAGCATTACTGTGGGTTGGACTCGTGCAGATCTGTTTAGTTTCACAGTCAGAACTCAAGAATTGTATGACCAATAATGTCAATATGATACATTTAAGCCTGTCTACTTCATCCTTAGATCAATTCAATACATAGGCTACCATCCCCACCACAAATAGCACCAATTGCTCTTTGAAACCACCTATTCCATCCACTCCAATATTCAGTAATCTATTCCATAATTCCATCATTCTATTAGTGAAGAAAAATAAACTGCCCTCACTTTCCATTTTTCTCCGACCATTGTGAAGGCCAAATACCAGTAACAACTGACTTGGGTCAGTTTTGTTAACTTACTCAAACAATACTGAGGATTTCAGTTAGACTCTCCTGAACTCTCTTGTTTTTGAATGGAAACAGGCACAAAATTCAGAATCACTTACATTTCCAATTGCTAGAATCAACTTCATTGCCCTCTCTCCACATGCTCCTTACGCGATATGATCAGATCTAATCTAATCTCTCAGGACAGCAGAAACAATATCAACCCCCACACACAGAAAAATGTGAGTCACACATCGGCATGGAATATTGTTCCATGTGGGAAAGATAGTCATTGAATCCCTCGGCACTGGAGTCAAATGTAGGGGCAAGGCCAGATGGCCCCATGAAAGCAGGCATACTTTCCATGACCATGAATCAGAGTGTGGCAGTGCATCATCTAAATGATTTCTGTATGCGTCAGCATCAACTACAGCATGTGTTAACTGTATGGACCAGTGGGGTCCATGGTTACTTGTTAACATTGCTTCATGCCATCCTGTGAACAACAGGTGACCATGAAAGAAACTGCAAACACGCCTTTACTTTTATTATTCACTCATGGGACATGGGAGTCGCTGGCTGGCTAGGATTTATTGCCTGCCCCTAGTTACCCTTCAGGAGGTGGAGATGAGCTGCCTTCTTGAACCACTGCAGCCACGTGCTTTAGTTGACCCACATTGCCCTAAGGGAGGCAATTCCAGGATTTTGACCCAGCAACACTAAAGGAACAGCGATATATTTCCCAGTCAGGGTGGCGAGTAGCTTGGAACGGAACTTGTAGATGGTGATATTTCCCTGTATCTACTGTCCTTGTTCTTCTAGATGGAAGTGGTCCTGTGTCTGGAAGGTGCTGTCTAAGAGCCTTAGTGAATTTCTGTAGTGCATCTTGTAGATAGCATACATGACTGCTCCTAAGGGTCAGTGGTGGAGCAAGTGGATGTAGTGCCAATCAAGCAAACTGCTTTGTCCTGGATGGTGTCAAGCTTGAGTGTTGTTGGGGCTGCACTCATCCAGGCAAGTGGGGAGTATTCCATCACAGACCCGAGTTGTGTCTTGTAGATGGTGGACAGACTTTGGGAAGTCAGATGAATTACTCTAGCCTCTGACCTGCTGTTGTACCTCTATATTTGTATGGCAAGTCCAGTTGAGTTTCTGGTCAATGGTAACCCCCTGGAAGTTGATGTTGGGTGTTTTAGTGATAGTAACTCCATTGAATGTCAAGGCATGGTGATTAGACTATCTGTTATTGGAGATGGTCATTGTCTAGCATTAATGTGGCGCGAATGTTACTTGCCACTTGTCAGCCCAAGCCTGGATATTGTCCAGATTTTGTTGCATTTGAACACAGACTGCTTCAATATCTAAGGGAGTCATGAATGGTGCTGAACACTGACCGATGATTTGCACAATATCCCAACTTCTAACCTTATGATAGAGGGAAGGTCATTAATCAAGTAGCTATAGATGGTTGGGCCTAGATCACTACCCTGATGATCTCCTGCAGAGATGTCTGACCTCCAACAACCACGACCATCTTCCTACATGCCACATACAACTTGAACCAGTGGACAGTTTGCCCCCTGATACCCATTGATTCCAGTTTTGCTCTGGCTCCTTGATGCCACACTCGGTTGAATGCAGCCTTTATATCAAGGGTTGTCACTCTCACCTCACCTCTGGAATTCAGCTCTTTTGTCCATGTTTGAAGTAAGGCTATAATGAGGTCAGAAGTGACCCTGGCAGAACCCAAACAGGGCATCATTGAGCAGGTTATTGCCGGGTAGGTGCTACTTGATAGCACGGTTGATAACACCTTCTATCACTTTACTAATGATAGAGAGTAGACTGATGGGGCGGTAATTGGCCGCGTTGGATTTGTTCCGCTTTTTGTGTACAGGACATACCCAGGCAATTTTCCATTGTCAGGTAGATGCCAGTTTTGTAGCTGTACTGGAAGAGCTTGGCTAGGGGATTGGTAAGTTCTGGAGCTCAAGCCTTCAGTACTATTGCCAGAATGTTGTCAGGACTCACAGCCTTTGCAGTATCCAGTTTCTCCAACTATTTCTTGACATCACATGGAGTGGATCAAATTGACTGGTATCTGTAATGCTGCAGACTACTGCAGGAGGCCGAGGTGGATCAATTGCTTAGCACTTCTGGTTGAGGATTACTGTGAATGCTTCAGCCTTATCTTTTGCACTGATGTGCTGGGCTCTTCCATCACTGAGGATGAGGATATTTGTGGAGCCTCCTCCTCCAGTGAGTTGTCTAATTGTCCGCCATCATTCACAGCAGGACGTGGCAGGACTGCAGAGCTTAGATCTATCTGGTTGTGGGATTACTTAGCCCTATCTGTCACTTGCTGGTTATGCTGTTTGACAGGTAAGTAGTTCTGCTTGGTACCTTCACCAAGCTGACACCTCATTTTTAGCAATGCCTGGTGCTGCTCCTGGCATGCCCTCCTGCATTCTCCATTGAAACAGGGTTCATCTCCTGGCTTTTACTAAGGGTTGTGTGGGGGGATATGCCAGACCATAAGGTTACAGTTTGTGCTGGAGTACAATTCTGCTGCTGTTGATGGTGCACAGCGCCTCATGGATGGATTTGCTAGATCTGTTTGAAGTCTGTCCCATTTAGCACAATGATGGTGCCATATAATAATATGGCGGGTATTCTTATTGTGAAGGTGGGACCTTGTCTCCACAAGGACTGTATGGTGGTCACTCTTACTGCCTGCAGCTGGCAGATCGGTAAGGATAAGGTAAAGTATATTTTTCCCTCTTGTTGGTTCCCTCACCGCCTGCCACAGACCCAGTCTAGCAGCTATGTCCTTTAGGAACTGACCAGCTCGATCTGTAGTACTGCTGCTAAGCCACTCTGGTGGCTTGAAATAGTGGGCATTGAAATCCCCCACCCAGAGTACATTTTGAGCCCTTGCCATCCTCAGTGCTTCCTCCAAGTGTTGTTCAACATGGAGGAGCACTGATTCATCAGCCGAGGGAGAACCCTGTAATCAGCAGGTTTCCTTGCCCACGTTTAATCTGATACCATCAGACTTCATGGGGTCCGGAGTCAATGTTGAGAATTCCCAGAGCAACTCCCTCCCGCCTGTATACCACCATGCCGTCACCTCTGCTGAGGATAGTGATGGTGGTGTCTGGGACATTGTCTGTAAGGTATGATTCCGTGAGTATGACTATTGAAAGCTGTTGTTTGACTAGTCTGACAGACAGCTCTCCCAATTTTGGCACTAGACCCCAGGTGTTAGTAAGGAGGACCCTCCAGGGTCAACAGGGCTTATTCTGCTGTTGTTGTTTCCGGTGCCTAGGTCAGTGCCAGGTGGTTGGTCGGGTTTCATTGTTTTGTTGTCATTCCACAAATTCTTCTGACAAAAAAAAGCCATGGATGGCGTAAACATACATTTGTTTTCTTTCCCCTTCTCCCAGTACCTCCTTATTTTTGGTCCTTTTTCCTTTCAGATACCCAGGAACTGCAAACTGGTCAAACACTGACAATGCATGTGACCATCCAGACAGGATCCGCTGGTGGTGAGGCACAAGGGCCTTCTGGAGAGAAGGACAGTGCACTGCCAGCTCTCCAGAAACTGAGGTACACAAAAAAATCTATAGCAGAAGGTTAGATGAGGATTTTGATGAGCCAGGCTGCACATATTTGAATGTATTGCAAAGCTCGTATTCAATGTCAAGGAGCATGGAGTGGTTCAGCACCAACTTAGCAGAAGGCTTTGTGTGGAGCTTAAGAGACCAGCCCTTCCGGCATGGGCATGGGGGTCAACTCATGCAGTACACTTGCAGACCAACTCTGGTGCTCGAGGGAGCGGCACCTCAGAGAAAGGTCATGCTGTCCTCTCACAGGGTGACCATCTCCAATAATATAGCCTGAAGCTGGACCATCCCAGGGCAGTTACAGCTTCCTGCACCTAAACACAGCAGACATGCTGCAGTCACAGGACAGACAAACACAACCTGGGAATATACCAAGAGTGACAGGTTTACATTTGTTTGCAACATGATACAATTTACTTTTCAGATTTAGCTTGGAATGTATATTTCACAATGTCTTTTATATCTGCACTGTGGACAAGAGGATGCTGCAACACAGAGAGAAGGTAAGGAGCTTAGGACAATTGGGTGAATGGAGAATCGTGGTTCAGGTTATGGGTTGACACTCAAATTAGACCTTCCTATTCAGTTCATGCTGAAAGGGATGTATAAGGTGCTCCCTCTTCCACTATTTTGTCCTCCTGTTTCTCTGCCTCTTGTTTGCCAAATGCTGCCCAGGGCTATTTCCTCAATCTGGCCTGGCTGTGCTGGGAAAACTAGCCAAAATCTGAAGAGCTGGTCAGACAGCGCATGTTTCACATGTGTATGACTGTGAATCTGATCATGAAATCATCATCATCGGAATGTAGCCACATCATCAGTAGCTCAGTGGTTGAAATATAGCTGCTACAGCAGGTAGCTGCAGAACAAAGGGCATCACAACTGCTGCCATTATACAGGGCATCAACTTACATTCCCTGTGGTGACACACTAGGGAAATCTATTCTGCTTCTGG